TGCCCAGGCAGGTCTCGAACCCGTGGACTCAGGCAATCCACTCACCTCAACCTCCCAAAGCGCGGGATTACAGGCTGAGCCACTGAGCCCGGCTTGTCTTGATTTCTTTATGGGCATCTTGTAAACACCTATTTTAAGTTCAGAATAGTTGAATAGAGCTAGAATAACCCTTTGTCCTGAGAAATACACATCTTGGAACCATAGGAAGAAACGCATTTCATTTGGCTTTTTAAATTTAAATTTTTGCCACAGTGGCTCGCGCCTATAATCCCAGCACTTTGGAAGGTGGAGGCGAGAGGATTGCCTGAGCCCAGAGGTTCGAGACCAGCCTGGGCAACATGGTGAGACCTCGTCTCTACAATAAATAAAAAACAATTAGCCAGGCATGGTGGCACACACCTGTAGTTCCAGCTCTGTGTTTCAGGTGTGTGCCACCATGCCCGGCTGAGGTGGCAGGATTTCCTGAGCCCAGCAGGTCAAGTCTGTGGTGGCCATGAGTGTGCCACTGCACTCCAGGCTGGATGACAGAGTGAGACTCCGACTCAAAAAAAAATTAAAATTTTTTTTAGAGACAGGATCTTGCTGTGTTGCCCACATTGGACTCAAGCTCCTGGGCTCAAGTGATCCTCCTGCCTCTGCCTCCTGAGTAGCTGAGACTACAGGTGTGTGCCATCATGCCCAGCTCTTTTTTGGCTTTTGATAATATTTGACCCAGGCCTTTGGGATCTTGGTTTAATTTAGATTGTGTGTCATCTTTGGGTAGATAGTTAATCCCAATCTTTCTACATTTTTCAGGGATCAGAAGGTGGCTAAAGAGGCGGACTCTGATGATTGATATCCACAGGGACTTGGAACTTGTTTGTTCAGTGACTAAGGGCCAGAAACTTTGCTAGTCCCTTGGATTGTAGTGGTGAACAAGATAGCCACTGTCCCTGAAACACAGAGCTTACAAATTCATAGGAGAGACACATAGTAAAAAGGCAGTTATGAGACACTTTGAGAGTACAATAAGGGAAGTGTAGTTGCTTTGGGAGTACTCAGAAGGTCCTTGGTCCAGACTTGTGAACTTGGGAATGGCCTCTCAGAGGAAGTAGCTTCCTCACCTAGAATGAAATGAACGCCCAAAGAACACTGAAAAAAAATATTAGGTGAAGACTTGAGGGACCAAGTATCAGAACTTTGATGAGTTTGAGAAAGTTTAGTGTGATTGAAACAGAGTGCATAGTGGGCAGGAATGGGAAGGTGTGGTAAGAGATGATGCAGAAAAGGTAAGCAGAGACCAGAGCCTTCTAAACTCTTAGGATTAGACTACGGGTCTGCAAACTTTTTCTATAAAGAAGACAGTAAATATTTTGGCTTTGTGAATCTCTCAAACTACTCAACTCTTATATATGGAAGCAGCCATAGAAAGTATGGAAACAAATGATCATGGATGTGTTCCAATAAAACTGTTTATAAAAACAGGTAGCAACTAGATTGGGCCCACGGACCATAGTTTGCTGACCCCTGGATCAGATTTAAGAATAGTAAGAAGCCATTAAGAGGTTTTGAGCAGTAGACACATTAGATTTTTGCTTTAGAAAGTTTGCTGTGATTTCAGTGTGAAGAATGGATTGAAGGGGACAGACAATACTGGAGGTAGAGAGTCCAGTCAAGGCTATAGCAGTTACATGGCAGTATTCTTATATGGCAGTATTTTGGCCCTTAAAAATTGAGTATAACTGTATCTTTTCATATATGTGTATGTTGGTTTTCTGATTGACTTTTGACATTTATTGGAGCTTACAGGATGTCTACCGAAGAATTTGTTGGTGATTCCAGCTCCTATTTTACAGACTGGAAAAGATGTAGGAATGGAAAGTTGGTATATAGAATGAATTAAAAGGTTTTGGAAACTATATTCTAATGAAGGAATTAAAATAAATGGAGTCCTGGGAGGGACCTTGGTCATAGATTAATGTCAGTTACTTTGAACTTCTTGAAATGTACACACAGAAGATGACCCATTTTCCTATGCTTTCCAGGGAATTGTCCTAATTCAGTATATGTTCTACGCAGTCTCTCCTTTCCTTGCTTATAGCAGATTTTTCTTGGTTTTGGAAATGTCTCCCAGTTCAGGTATGATGGTATATGTCAGAAACAGACACCAAATGAAATACTTCATTTGATGAGTGCCCAGTGAATAGGTTAGGGCTGTGAGTCCTGTGTCTGCTCTTTCCTTTTGTCTTCTTCCTACAGGCCCCAATGTACTTGCATTGCTAGTGGGAAGCCTATAGGCTTCTGATAACAGTTTAAGTGACCTTGGGCAAGTCACTTACCTCTCTGAGCTTCACTTTGCTTTCTGTAAAATGGAGATAATGGAACTTAATAGGGTTGGTTAAAGGTTTTAATAATGTTTGTAAAGCACTTAGCACAGTGTAATAGTATTTTATACAATTAATAGTTTTTTTAAAAGCTTCCAGTAGTTGGGTGACTTGGCCTTTGACTTAGTGTGTTTTGGGTTCTCACAGTTGTCATTGTGAACATATGGAGCCACAGGAGGAATTTACAATTAAGCAAGGCACCACTTTTCATAATGGACAATTTTCAGACAGCAGGAGTTCCATTCAGAATCCCAGAACTTTTTTCAGGGTGGACCTTAGTCCCAATATCATCAGTGGAGCGAATTGAGTGAACGACTTCCTGACAGAAATTCACCAAAGTGTGACCAATCATTCCTTCCTGTCTGTCTGGGGTCATTTATTAGTGTTGCCACCCTTGTGGCTCTACATCTTTGTAAAGTGCCTCTCAAATGTTTTTTATTACTTTTCACCAACACTCTGGGAAGTGGGTCAGGTGGTCAGCATTCTTGTCTTTGTTACTCATGTGAAGAAACTGAGACCCAGGAAGGTTAAGTGAGTTGCCTGAGGTCATGCTGTGAGGTACCGTCAAAGCTAGCACTGATTTGCGTTCAGATGAAATTGTGTTTATTGCTGTGATTTCTCTTCCCTTGAGTGAGAGTAGCATAGTCATTGTAGAACTGCACGCCTTGCCCAGATCAGCTAGGCTTGATTTGGGGTCCCACTTTATCCACTTGGTTCTGTTGGGTTTTAATTGATGACTGCTAGAACAAGACTTGTTAGGAAGCAGATTCCCTTTGGGTCGTTGTTTTTAGCCTTTCCTCTTTGGGGACATTCCTTGGGGAGACTTGGGTTACGAGGGATTGCTTTGATATGTTCAAAATTGTGCCTTGTGCCCCACAGCTACAGGTAAAATCAAAAGGCAGATAATTTATGGGAGTGTCAAAGCTGGCCGCTGGCACCTCAGGAGGCCATTAGTATGCCTGTTCAGACCCTCTGTGTCCTTGCAATTGATTCCTCTTTGCATGAGCCTGATTTGGGAAGCTGTAGATCTGTGGGTAGTGATTGGATGTGACAGTCCAAACACCGGACCCTAAATTAATCCTTTTAATGGTATTCCAGCACCAAGGCAATTCTCTCTTTCTCTCTCTCTTTCCCCTGTACTCTTTTTTTTTTTTTTTTTTTTTTTTAGTGGAGTGGACAATGGGGTAGGGTAGGAGGAAGGATAGAAAGAGAAAGAAAACAGTCTATATGTGGTGCTTAGACCCTGCTCTAGCACGTTCTAATTCCAGAGCAGTTGGCATTATGACTTTGGACATATTAATTCATTCAGCAGACATTTCCTCCTTTGTGCCTGGCCCTGTGCTAAGTGCTAGGAATACAGAAGTGTATAAAATGTGGTCCTTGCCCTGAATATCTAGCTAAGTGTTTCTCAGGCTTTTAAAACTCACGTACCATTTAGAATTAAAACAACAACAACTACAACAAAAATCCAACTAATTCCATGCTTTTCTTTAATGCTATTTGAAATTTTAAAATGCATTCAAGGGTCTGACAAAAAACAAGTCACTATTGGTCATGTCATGTATGCTTTTTTTTACACACACACATGCTCATCTATACCTAATACTGCTATCTTCCATCCTTTCCCCTAACTCCTTGAACATTTCTGGTAGTAGGATAAACATACCTAACATCTTACAATATAGTGAGATAAAAGTTATGAATAGGGGGTTGGGCTCTGTGGCTCAGTCTGTAATCCCAGCACTTTGGGAGGCTGAGGCGAGTGGATTGCCTGATCTCGCAGGTTCAAGACCAGCCTGAACCAGCAGCTTGGCGAGACTTCGTCTCTACAATAAATCAAAAAATTGACTGGGCATAGTAACGCACGCCTGTAGTTCCAGCTACTTGGAAGACTGAGGCAGAAGGATCGCTGGAGCCCAGCAGGTCGAGGCAGTGGTGGCTATGAGTATGCTACTGCACTCCAGCCTGAGTGACAGAGTGAGACTTCAACTAAAAAAAAAAAAGTTATGAATAGGAATAAACTGTGCTACTGGATCATACTGAAGCAATTAATGTTATGATAGGGTGTCAGAGAAAGCTACTAAAGAGGGGAGATTTGAGCTGGATTTTGAAGAAGGAGTAATAATTAGCCTCGTGAAAAATGGAAGTGCATTCCAAAACAGGAGGAGTATCATTTGCCAAGGCACAAATTTGTAAAAAGAAACATCACATTTGAGGACCTGAGTAAGAGCTGGTTGTAACCCTGCCACCTGCCAGTTTTTCCACTCTGTAAGTGGAATTGTGTTTGAGAAGAGGCTTCAAGTTTCTTGTGCTGCAATTGTTTTTTTTTTTTTT